GCTGTGTGTAGGAAATTATATGCGTTCCTCGAAGTGACAAGTTCTACCATCTCCTGAACGAGCTGTTGCCAATGTGTTTTAAGGACCATGATAATAAGAAAAGGGATACTAAGGTGAGATTTGGAGGAAACGTGGTATGGACGAAATTTTTTTCATTTAACATTTTGGATTTTTCTCACTTTGGCCGCCAAAGTGAGATTTTCGCTGAAATGGAATATAAGTAATTTCTGGAGAGTACGATGGTTGAATGTAGGTGGAGGCATTGATTCTGAGAAATTTGGTGAGATAAAATAATGATTTTAGTGATCCCAGGTTTTACGTGGAACTCTATTGATTAAATGACTGATTTTCTCGAAGTGATTTAGATTCACCGGAGATCTTATAATATTTTGGATGAGAGTTTGTGGGAGTTTTTGGTGCTCTTTATGCAGGTGTTGATATTTACATCTGGGAAGAAATCGGTTGATAATTTGGTCGGGTGCTTAAGGCAAATTGGGTGGCCAGCGGTGGGGATACATTCTGGAAAGGAACAAGCGGAGAGGGAATGGGTAGTAGAGGAGGAGGAGGCGGAAAAATTTAGGATAAAATTTCGGAATTTTCGCGGAAATAAATTTTCGAGGAGATTGGATTGGAATGAATTTTGATCATTTCGTATATCCTTTTGAGAAGAGGAGATTCACTCTGAGCTCTTTTGAGTCGACTCAAAAAAGGAAAAAAGAAAAAAAGAAAAAAAGGAAAAAAGGAAAAAAGGAAAAAAGGGGAAAATTCCCTACGGTTGTCGTGGGGAGTTGGTATGATTTCTATCTGAATTTGTGTGTTTATAAGATATTCCATTTCGTGAATTTTTTTTGAAAATTCTGTTTTTGAGCATCTCTCATTGTGACCGATTTATTGTGATTTGGAAAATCAGATTCTTTTTACGGTTTTTTTATTTCTTATCAGATTTTCGATCAATTTAAGGTCGATTGAACACCGAGGATCATTCGAGAGCTAGTCGCGC